TGTGTGACAGTAGAGGCAGTGTGTGTTTGATGTTGTGTGACAGTAGAGGCAGTGTGTGTTTGATGGTGTGTGACAGTAGAGGCAGTGTGTGTTTGATGTGTGTGACAGAGGCAGTGTGTGTTTGATGTGTGTGACAGTAGAGGCAGTGTGTGTTTGATGTGTGTGACAGAGGCAGTGTGTGTTTGATGTGTGTGACAGTAGAGGCAGTGTGTGTTTGATGTATACTCATACTGACCTCCTGTATCTGTGACACTTCATCTGACAACATCTTCAGGTTCTGCTGATGGTTCTGCTGCTCCTGTCTGCGGGCCTCTAGATACACCTGAAACCAGGCGGCGACCTCAGCGTCAGACACCTGTTCATCCAACAACCAGCAGGTAAATGTGCTGCGCTCACCTTTATGATCTCCACCTGCTCTTCTGTGGACTTCACCGGCTCGGTGCTGGGAGCCGACCTGTCGGCGGCGGGCTGCACCAGGGCGTACGCTCGTCCCACCGGCTGCAGATCAGAGACAGGAGGTTAACCACGAGTCTTCAGCCGAGTCAAGCTGATCCAAAACAATTAGTCTGATCGACTAATTCAACAGCCTGCGGTGTTTTTGTTTAATAAGTGTTGTGAGACGCCCGTCTGGAATGTCGACACAGATGATGTCATTAAACTAATCAAAGGAAGAACATTGTGTCTTCCTGTGTGTGACCGTCTGAGACCTGCCTGTAAACATCTGGTGCTCCCTGAAAGAAAAGGGTGGAAACACTTGGCCAGAGTCACAGCAGAGTAACGGGTCGAACAGAGACGTTCTCTGAGCGTCCCACTGGTTCTGATGGAGCAACGCTTGTCTTGAGACATTTAAAGAACATGAGAAACACACTAATGTAACCCTCATGATGCACGTTTATCTTGCTAATGTGCAGAATGTTGTGTAATGTGTTACACAGTCCAACTGTTGAAGTTTCAGGTCTTTATCACCTCTCATCTGTTAAAACAAATATAAACAACCACAGCCAACAAGACGTCAAATCTACTCTAAAATTATTTTAAATTACGCTTTAATTTCACAGCAAAACATGAATCTATAAATTTATATCAGATCATTTTAAAACTCAAGACAACTACAGGTGTTTCTTAACCTCCAAGGGATTTTTTTGAAGTTTGTGCTTGAAAAAGCATGCCCAAATGTGTATCTCAGAAAATTTGACTCAAATTAAGTCAAACATATCTGCCAGTGGAGTAAGAAAATGTTACTTGTTAAGATTCTTGAAATAAGAAAAAATTGAGTCACATCAAGTATTTCAAGAATCTTACCAAGTAAAATKTTYTTACTCCACTGGCAGAAATGTTTGACTTAATTAGAGTCAAATTTTCAGACTAACAAGACAAATAATCTTACACATTCTGAAAACAAGATGATTATTCTTACACAATCAGTTCTTGTTTAGTAAATCAGTCTGAAAACAAGATCAAAAAGACTTTTTGGCTGATATAAGATTTAAAACTTGGTTAGATGGACAGTTTTTACAGTGTGATTGCTCTCTTTCACTGTTTGTTGCTTCATGACGCAGGAAGAACATTTCTGCACTAGTTGTAGTTTAAAACCTGCAGGAAGTTCTTACCTTGTCTCTGTAGCCCTCTGAGCCTCGAGCTGCCTCTCTCTGGTCCAGCAGCGTGAGCCGGAGTCGCCTGCAGCCCTCCTGAAAGTCAGAGAGACGAGGTGAGCCCACAGAGTGGCCGTTATGTGATGAAGACACTACGATATTCAAGGAGAGGGGGGGATAAGGAGGAGAGATTGAGTCATACTCCAGGATGGGTGGGAGAAAGTGGGCTGGAAGCAGACGGGAGCGAGGGGAATGAGCGTCAGAAGGAAAGTAAAAGTATTTTTCCCTCTGCTGCACAGAGACAGATTGTTTGGTTTAAACTGAGCTGCTAACGTCACAGAGACCGAGGAGAAACTCCTCCAGAGGCTCGCCGCCAGCTGGAAGCAAAGGCTGGGTTTTACAGCCAAAGTGGGCGTGAGGAGCAAAAACAGAGCGTCACCAAGACCACCGACCCTAACTTTCATTTCATTTCATTTTATTAGATCAAGGACAGCACAATGAACAATGTTACATAATAAAATACAAGCAACCATTGCTCTGTACAAGAGTTTTCTAGCCACAGACTAATTTCTAAACCCAGTCCTTGGTTGGACTTTTAAAATAAAAACTGCAAAAATAAAATAGAAACAGTCCCCTCTCTCTCTCGATCACCCCCACCCGACCCCACCCCACCCCCCAAAAAAAAAGAAGAAAAAAAAAACCAGGAGCTATAAACGACAGAACGATTTATAAAAAACATCTACAGAAACGAGGATAAAAGTAGAATAACAACATCCTCTGGAGCAGCAGGATGTCACTGGGTGTGGGTTTTCCAGCACAAAGTCCCCCCTACTACACACACACACACACACACACACACACACACACACAC